GGTGCCACACACGTTAGGCTAACCCCATGTTTTAAAATTTTAAATTTTTTACATGGAGGACCAACTACTTTTCATTTCACACAATTGAGTACCCTTTTTCGATACACGAGTCCACAACACAATATAAGGAGAGTCATCAATACCACATGAATCAACGGTCATAAATCCACTAGTTCACAAAATCAACCGGCACAACAGATAGGAAAAATCTTATACTTCAACATCCTCCATAGTGCTACAACTACCTCCCTAGGTTGCATATCACCATAAAGACTGTCAATTCAAAACATACTGAGCAGGTTATTGTAGGGAACAGTACTTGGGAACCCTCAATTCATCAGATTGGACAGTGGACTATGCTCCAAGCACACAAAATCATCTATGCATTCAAAGATAAACATCCCCCCACACTTAAGCATGACCTTGCCCTCAATGGAGAAGAGGGAAAGATAAGGAGAACGATGTTACCAGGAAAATAGACCGCCGGGATTGGCGACTGGAAGGCAGACCAATCAAGAGCAGGGGACTGGAGGGGGCCAGTTGAAAGGCACTGAGATAGAGTCATCAAAACACATTGGGTGATAGAAACCACAATTCCAATTGAAAAAAACCAAAAAGAAAGAAAAGAAAAACAAACTGTGGTGGGGTTGCCTCCCCACAAGCGCTTCTTTTACGTCTTTAGCTGGACGCAGAGGGTGGATGCTCAGAGTGGTGTAGGAACAGGTGCTCCAAGAGGGGATCCACATCGCTCTTGAGGTACAACTTCAGATGGTGGCCATGCACACGACGGGTGTGACCACCAGCACTTGTCAACTCGACCCGGCCATCCGGTAGGATGAAAGCGAGTGAATACTCGGATGGCTCAGGATCCGGGACCAACTCATAGTGATCTCCAGCTTTCTTTTGAGCAGGCTTAGCTACCTACAGTTCCGGCCGCCAATCCTCCTTGGTCTTTTCTTTTGGTAACGAGATGGACGAAAGTGGTGGTGAAGGAATGAGAGGGGGATCCTGCAAAATGGGAGGCACAAAAAGATACACGACAGACTCGTGCACCTGGTGAGAGACAGCATGCAAAGGAGATAAAGCAGGCATAATATTAGCAATGAAAAATGTTATCTGCTCCTCGTCATCTCTCAAGACTAAGGTCCCCTCATGCACATCTATGAGAGCCTTGGCGGTGGCCAGGAAAGGCCTTCCTAGTATAAGGGGAACTTCTGCGTCTTCATTAATGTCCAAGACAACAAAATCCACAAGATAAAAGAATATGTCAACCTTAACCTGGAGGTCTTCCACTATGCCCCTAGGATGAACTACAGATAGGTCAGGTAATTGAATACTCATCCTAGTTGCACTGGGTTCACCTAGGCCTAGCTTCTTGAACAATTTATATGGTATAACATTGATACTAGCACCTAAATCCGCCAAGGACCTCTCTACATGCAATTTACCAATAGAGCACGGGATAGTAAAACTACCTGGGTCCTTCTACTTCGGTGGAAGCTTGTTCTGCAGAATGGCCGAGCACTCCTCGTTGAGCTCCACAGTGGCTAGCTCGCTCAGCTTCTGCTTCTTCGAGAGAAGATCCTTCAAGAACTTCGCATACTTAGGCATCTGAGATAGTGCCTCCATGAAGGGCACTTGAACATTCAGCTTTCTAAGCATTGACAAGAAATTGCCAAACACTACCTCAAGCCTGTCTTTGTACATCCTGGTGGGAAAAGGGAGCTTAGCTTATATTCAGCCACTACTGGCTGTGGTTTTGGAGCTCGAGCCTCTGGCTCCTTTTCCATTACCAGGTCCTCTTTCGGCTCTGGAGTGATCTGTGTCACCTTCTTGGCACTCTTCGGCAGTGCATCCTCAGTCATAGCCCCACTTCTCAGCATGATGGCTTGTAACCCCTCCTTATGATTTCTAGGATTTGGTAGGGGTTGGCCAGAAAGTGTGCCAGCCGGTCTGGAAGTAAGGGCATCTGGCAGGTGCCCAATTTTTTTGTCCATATCCAACAAGAGTGTCTGTTGGTTCCTCTGGCCAGCTTCAATCTCCATGAATTTACCCGCAGCCACTTCCATGAATTTCTCCAATTTATTGAACTTCTAGGTACTATTGTTGACCAAGGTGGTCACTAGATCCCTCAGTTCTGACACGGGATCACTCGGTGTTGGGACTGATGGAGATGCACTAGGCTGCTGGTACTGCTGCTACTGTGGGGGCTATTGAAAAGCCTGCCCCTATCTGGGATGATGGTTGTTGTTGCTGCATCTGGCCCGGGCGGGGCTAGTATGGCTGCCTCTGGTTTTGAAAATTAGTTGTAGGAGCCTGGAAGCCAGGTGGCTTGGGATTTTTGTTGCCACTGGAGAAATTTGGATGTTGGCCCATCCCTCGTTGTAAGTATTACTATATGGGTCATTACGTCTAGCATGGTTGATGAAGTTTACATGCTCCTATGGTGTCATGGACTCACGCATGGCCTGGCAGTTGTCTACAGTATGATGGGAGCTCTCGCACCACTAGCAACGAATTGCCTGTTGCTACCCTGCCCTTGAAACCATCCATTCCGATCGATGGCTGAGACCAGTTTAGACACAACCTGCACCAAATCGGAAGAGTGGGTGTCCACAGCATGTACAACCCGGCCTGATACTCGCCTCAACCTCCTAGCAGTACACCAGTCATATCCTTTCTCTGCCATCTCCTCAAAGAGCTGATTTAACTGCGGTGGCGCCTTAGTCAACATGTTCCCGTCACATACCGAATTAATCAGTTGCTTATCTTCTGAGAAGAGGGCGTGATAGAAGGTGCGCACCTTGAAGGCGTCATTGAAACCATGATTGGGACACTTTAGGAATAGACTAGTGTATCTCTCCCAAGCATCCCGAATGTTTTCATCTTCCTCCTGTTCAAAATGAGTGATATGCTTCTGCAGGTGCGCTGTCTTTGATGGAGGATGATAGCGGTGAGGAACTTGTCCGCCAGGTTGGCGAACATAGTGATCGATCCCGGAGGCCGAGTGTCTGGTCACTCCTTGGCCTGCCCCTCCAGAGTGAATGGGAAGTATCTCGGCTAGATGGAATCGGCAGGGACCCCATTTATCTTGATCCCATCGATCAGCTCGTGGAACCGCCATAGGTGCGATCTGGGACACTACCCCTCCTTTCCACGAAATACCACCGAGCCGCGCAACATGGTGATGACAGCGGTGCTCACCTCAAAGTTATTGGCTGGAACTTGAGGGTGCTGTATCGGCGACCTCATGTCTGCGGCTCTGGCAGTCCAGTAGTATCCCATGGTATGATCCTCGGCAATGACCACATCATTGTTCTGTGGGTCACCCATTTCTTCCTCCTCGGTGACGTGCAGTTGCTCCAAAGCTTCCTCCGTAGCCAGTTGAGCCTTCAAAGTGCGCTTGAGGTTACGACAAGTTCGTTTGATCTCCTGGTCCAAGGGCAGTAGATCTCCCGACTGACTACGGGTCCTGCACTACCTTCACACAATCAGCAAAAGCACCCCGTGAAGGAACACGGGTGGAAGAGAGAGAATGCAGTATAGAAAATGTGAAAGTACAGACTTTCACGTTTCTACAATAACTTAGAAGTTCCCCGACAACGGCGCCAAAAACTTGACACGCTATGACACAACACCAAACTGCGACCAAGTATAATCGCAGCCTGAAAATGCAGAATAGTGAGTAAGTTTAATTTATCAACTCGAGGTCTAGATCTACTGCCTACTTTGTGAACTTCTATTATCTAGCGGGACTAAGTGAGTGAAGGTGAATTCAAACTAAACAGAAAGAAAGCAGTAAATTGTCCGGTTTCTTGAAGCAAGAGAAGAGTCACTAGGGAATGAGCCCCCCTAGCTCCTCAGTTAGGTCCAAGTTGTAGTTTTCTTTGGTTGATTTTCTATTGATTAAACTGCGGAAGATCCGACAGTAGCTTGGAATCTCTTAATCTGACCAAGCCCTGTTACACAGACTAACTGGCAGACGACAAGTCTTCACCGGGATAGAAAGCTAAGGAAATTAGCACAGAACTCCACTACTGGAATTGGATTCCCGTACAAAGCAGTGAATTGACTAACTCTTGTATAATCAATCCACTCTTATCAATTGAAGAAGCTCTAACAACCTGATAAGATTCTATCTATCTTAGGTTGCAGCAGAAATAAAAAGAAGATGATCGGGATTCAATTGACTCAATAAACACACTTCAATTAATTATAATCAAATAGTATATCAATCAAAAAGTCATTACAACTCAAATCCTTAACACATAGAACTAGGGTTCTTAGTACCCAAGTGAGAGAAAAGTCTACTCCATAGAGAGAGAGAGAGAGGAAAACAGAAATCAAAGCAGTCATACTCATAAAGATGGGAATAATCTACTCTGGGATGTCAATCTTCACTCATGAGGATGCAATCTAGGCTTCAATGGTGAGAAATCCACTCCAAATAGCTCCTAGGGTTTGTTCTTCGCACTTTCTCTCTATAGAACTCTATTTTTGCTCCAAAAAGTCGATTCTCCTCCTCCGAAACCCGAAATTGGGTTAATATGCAGCTGCCCGCGATTGCCTTGCAACCCCCTTCGCTGCCCAAACAACCCAAAACACCGAGTTTCAATTAATTCCACGAAGGGATTGCAAGGCCATTGCACGGGCTGTGCAATCCGAGCGCCTGGCCGTGCAGCCTCTCGCATAGTTCATCACGGCCAGAAAATGCGTTGTGCACGACCGTGCGAAAACAGGATCAGGTCGTGCAGCTTCTCAGTAAATCTCGCACGGCTAAAAAGGCCACCATGCATGGCCGTGCACTTTCTCGTGATGGTCGTGCAACTTGTCTGCTCACCCTCGCTCGTCCCGATTTCGCCCAAACGTCCCCAAACTCGTGCTCAAACCTTCATTCACGCATTAGGACCTGAAATGTCATAAACAATAACAACCTAGCGTAAAATCGGCTTAAAATCCGAGATCCGAGCCTCAAACAGTATAAGAATGGCGGGCAAAACATGTGTATATATCGAGTCATCAGTAATAAGAACAATCGGATTTCCATTAGGTGCGACGCCGCGGTGGCCAAGAAAGATGCTCCCGAGGCTTCCGGTGAGAAGTTTGAGTACCAAGCCGAGGTGGGTATTAATTGGTTTGTTTATAACGTTGATAAAGTTTTAAGCTTTGTCCTGTTTGAATTGTTCTTGGGGTTACTGTTAGCATATGTGGAACTTACTTGGACAGAATTCTCATTGGTAGATTCACCAGTTTATGGATGGGATGGTTGTTAACTCGAAGATCTTTCTAGATTCTGATACTTTGTGAGCTTGTGGTTGAATTTGAACTCATTAGAGTCTTTGGTTAAAGATTATGAAGTTTGGACAATTTTATTGGGTGCAGGGTAGCCAACTTTTAGATTTGATTGTTAATAGTGTTTACAGCAACAAGGAAGTTTTCCTCCAAGAGCTTGTCAGGTGAGATTTACTTACTCCAATGGAAATGTGAAGCTCCCTCCTTTCTTTGTTAAGGTTTTTCATTTTACTACTATGCAATCAGAAGCTATTGGGTGGCATCTCATTTGATTATATATGTTGACTTTTTTGTTTAAACCTCTTCTCCTGTGTTGCAGCAATGCTAGTGACGCTTTTGATAAGTTCAGATTCCTGAGTGTTACTGATCCTAAATTTCTTGGAGATGCTGGTGAACTAGAGATTCGGATCAAACCATATGCAAATAATGGAACCATCACAATAATGTATGTTGATATTTCTGCTTTTCTTCACTTACTTACCTTGGATGATATGATGGGCAAACTCTAAAATTACTGTTTTGTTTTTGTAGAGATACTGCATTGGTATGACAAGAAAAGAGCTCATTGACTGTCTTGGGACCATTGCTCAAAGTGGGACTGCAAAATTTTTGAAGGCTTTCAAGGTTGTATGCCTCCAAAGAACATATTCTTCTTTAATGTTTTAACCATGCATGTTCAATGCTGACCTTTTCCCTCTCTTATGATAAGCAGGAAAACAAGTTATTGGAGCTGATAATGCATTGATTGGTCAATTTGGTGTTGGGTTCTACTTTGCGTTTCTTGTTGCTCAGAAGGTATACTATTAATCATTATTAATATATTTCATTTGTTGATTTTCGTCCTTTGATTTTGGGTGGGAGGGGAATGCTATTGATTGAACAAACTTGTAATTGACGTCCACTACCAGGTAGTGGTGACGACTAGGAGCCCGAAATCTTACAAGCAATATGTTTGGAAAGTAGAAGTAGAAGCAGACATCAGTTCATATATTATCAAAGAAGAAACAGATCTTGAAAAGTTTCTTGGCCGTGGACCAAAATTACACTGTATCTGAAGGTACGGGAGCTTTCTAACAGAAGTGTTTACTGGTATTCTGCTTTGCCACAGTATATTATGGTGCGTCAAAATTGAGAAGATTTATGTTTATGAGTGGCGACATATGAGGTTGTTTTCTGCATCCGGTTCGACTAGCGGAGAAAACATCCTAATGGATCGTCGTTCTTCTTACAGGAAGATGACAAATATGAATTCTCAGATCCAACCAGAAGTCAGGGATTGGTGAAAAATTACTCTCAATGTGTTGCATCTATTTTTTGTTTATGTATCTCTTAGCGTGATCTTCATGTTAACTCCCTTCTTCCCTTAATTTCTGGCAAAGTCGAAATGTAAAGGAAGTTGAAAAGGAAGAGTACCAGGAATTCTAAAAAAGACTTTTAATGTTTTTTGGATCCACTTGCCCACACTCACTTCAATACAGAGGTATGATGGGCACTATTAACTGTTAGTTAAGTACGTCTTCCGGCTAGTCTATAATGGGTTATTGAATATTTGCAGGGAGAGGTAGAATTTAGGAGCATTCTATATATTCCTAGTATGGCACCTATGAACAATGAGGATGTAGTTAGTCCAAAACTAAGAACATACCACTCTACGTGAAGAGGGTGTTCTTTTCAGATGATTTTCTCTCATGCACATTATTGTGTTCTTCTGATGGTCAATTTATATCTGGTTGTTCTGTTGATGTTGACATGTTAACATTGCCTCGACTCTAATAAGTTTAGACTGTTTAGTTGTTATAGTATGTTATTTTTACTTTGGATGTAGCTTTTTCTCTCTCAATAAGCTACCAGTGTAATGTTTAGTTCTGGCTGACAATGTCCAAGCCTGTCTTAACACCCATTATGTTGACTGCAGTTTCCCCGATATTTGAGCTTAGTGAAAGGTGTGGTGGATTTTGATGATTTTCCTCTTAATGTATCCCGAGAGATTCTTCAAGAGAGCCGAATTGTAAGAATCATGAGAAAGAGACTTGTTAGGAAGACTTTTGACATTATTCGGGAGTTGTCTGAAAGTGAGAACAAAGAGGTTAGTGTCAATTAAACTCCTTGTGCCTTCTTCATGTTTTTGTCTTCCTCCCTTTGTTTGAGTGTGTGTTTTTTCATGAAGTGCTCTCTTCACTTTAGGATTACAAAGAAGTTTTGGGAGAATTGTTGAAGGTTTGTAAAATTAGGATGCATTGAAGACTCTAGAAATTACAAGCGTATAACTCCTCTACGGAGATTCCACACATCCAAAAACGAGGAAGAGCTCACAAGTTTGAATGATTATGTGGAAAATATGGGAGAAAACCATACAACAATCTATCACTTGGCAACGAACAGTTTGAAGAGTGCCAAGTCTGCTCCATTCTTGGAGAAGTTGGTCCAGAAGGACATTGAGGTATCTAGATTCTGCTTGTGGACAACGATGACATGTTTGAAGAAACAAGGCCATTATATATATGGTTCAGGCTAGCGTACATCAGTCTTACATTGTAAACCATTATTATTATTATTATTATATATATATATATATATATATATATATATATATGTGGTAAGATTCAGAGAATTAAGACCTAGATTTTGATCTTTAAGGGTTAGAGTATAGTATCATGTTCGAAAGATCAGTAAATTCAAGGTCTGGATTGCGTTTTCAGACTCAAGGTATGCGATACCCCGGATTTCACCCTGGGTACCGTAGAACTCGCCATATATATATATGTGAAGCTACATACCTGTTAGGGATTCTAATATAGTGGCTTCAACTATAATTTCTAATAACAGGTATTATATTTGATTGAGCCCACCGATGAAGTTGCAATCCAGAACCCAAAGACCTACAAGGAAAAGAAATTCGATGACATCAGCAAGGAAGATCAAGAACTTGGTAAGTTCTTGCTTATTACTGATAAATACGCCACATGCATTTTACTTTCGTACTTCGCTTCTTTAGACGGGGTATCTGTCTTGACTTCAAGAATTGGTTTTAACACCAAGTGATGAGGATGAGGTCAAGTCAAGGAAAGGGAAGCTAAACAAGAATACAAATTGCCTCTATGACTAGATAAAGCAACAACTTGGTGACAAATTTGCCAAAGTCCAAGTCTCCAAAAGACTAAGCTCATCTTCGTGTGTGCTTTGGAAATTCGGATGGTCTGCCAACATGGAAAGGTAAGTGTGTCTGAATTTGGTTCTCATTCAAGCATTTAACTTATAACCTCCTCGATGTGAATATGATGTATCATTGTCATCACTACTAGAAAAAATGCCCGCTGCTACGCCGCGGGAACTTAAGTTGCAACAGTATAATCATATGGTGGGCAGTTTAGATGAAGTGTACCGTATGCAAAGTTATCTGTACATACCGTCAAATAAGTTCAACAATATGTAAAAATCACTTTGGTAATCAACTTATTATGCAGTCTCTGAATCATCCGTTTTGTCCACTTTGTATTCACACTTCAAGATCGAGAAATGTGCTTGCTTGGTGATGGAGTTACGCCCTGGTGGTCATTCCCTCGAGCAAAGGCTAACTGGAAAGTTCTTCCCTGAGCATTCTGCCTTATTCGGATTCTTTTCCCTTAATTGCTCTTATTGTTGTTTCTCTTCATAATAAATAATGGCTTCAATCCGAGTACAGACAGATAGAACCCATTCATTCAGCAGTAGCAGGAAAATAGCTCCTTCAGCTAACAACTATTTACTCTGATGAATATAAGATATTTAATCAAAGTCTGTCCTAAAAATGATCCAAAAGCGATGACGGTAAAGTTACTACACAATATACATAGCATCATGTAAAGTAAACACATGTAAAAATCAGTTGAAAACAGCATATTTGAGCTTTGCTCTGTCTCAAAGAATATGGAATTTTAAGCAGCAAGATTTGTTACCTTCTCTCTGTGGTCAGAAATTGCATCATGCAGTCCGGATTTCTGTTTGTCCGAAGGCAACAGACTCTTTAGGCAGCTCCCAAACACGTTAATGACATAGTATAAGGTTCATGCTAATCGAATTACCTACAGCCTATGGCAGAAGATCATAGAGAAAAGTATGGCCTATGCATGAGGAAGAAGGTACAGATTCAGTTGTAGCCTGGAACTCGGTATGTGCATGGTTTAGAACTTACTATTATGTGTTCTTTATTTCAGCAAGCATTATCATCTTATACTTTCTCAGGAGGATCTGTTATTTAGAAAGTACCTAGTGGCCCACTCCAAGCAAATATAAGAATAAAAGAACTCATTACCTTAAGCATATTCAAATCATGCTCCTCTGAAATGGAAAGGAACACAATTTTATGACTGCAAAGCAATCTGTAGATAACAGCCAATTGGCAAAGGAGAAACAGTGTAAAAGAAGTGAAATATGTTGTCCAGCAAGTAGAGATCACATTTCATTGTCCAATTAGACCCACAAATATCTGAAATCAAGCCATCAAACACTTACGCCAACCTGATAGAGTTGTGTCCCTTCTGTAGCAGCAAAAGGAACTACAAAATAGCAAACAAAAAAAGCATATTCCAAAAATTGCAGGTAAAAAGATAGTTGCAGTTCCCACTTGAGTAGACACAGTTGGTTGTAGAGTCACTAATTAGGACATTTAATCCATTTTCACCATCAAATGAGTCTTTTGTCATTGAAGGAAAAGCAACATGACTCCCTGTGACTTGGAAAAGGCCAATTCAAAGTTGAGATCTGGTAGCCCTTTTTAAATCGAGAAACAACATGAATTTCATGAAGATGCAGATTAAATTGAGGCCAAAGTATCCTTGAATAAACATGGAAAACAGTGATAAGAAATGAACATGTGCATGATTTAATTCTTTGGAGTCAGTTCTGCTACGAATGAACAATAAAAAATCTGTTTTGGCTCAATATGAACAGAAAATGGAAAGAGGAAAAATACCTATTGGATTGTGAAGGTGCTCTCCCCACAACGCAAAACCATTTTCCCAAACTTATATTCCTTGTTGAAGTGCTTTAAGCAACAGGAAAAGCATGCTAATACTACAGCTGTGGAGGTAAGGAAATTGGAAACGACATTTTTTACTCTTATCTAAGATGTTCTCGGGCTTAAGATCTCGGTATATGGTCCCCAACATGTGTAGGTACTCCAAAGCAAGGAGAACCTCTACAACATAGAACCTGCAAAAAGAGGTTGAATCAGAAGTTGAGAGAAATAAGTTGGGGACTGTTTCTAAGGAGAGAAATCAAGCAAGAAGAAGGGCACTAATTATGAGAAGCTTCAGATGGGGAATGTCATATATGTCTGAAAATCTAACATAGTGTAGAGAGAAAGAAAACATGAACTATTCTGTAATGCAATTCTAGTGTATATTAAGTACAATACATAATATAATGATTTTTGTTTAAGAAACTATCAAGTTTATCAGGTAAAATGCAAGACTTTTTAAGGTAGAAGCTAACTTACTTATATTGCTATGGAGAGAAGCAAAAAAGACCAGTTAAGAAACAATCCGAACAGGGCAGCATGCTCAAGGAAGAACTTTCCAAGTTGCCTTTGCCTAAGGGAATCAGGGAATGGTCACCACCAGGGCAGAAATCCACCACCAAGCAAGGCCATTTCTCGGTCTCAAAGTGAGAATACAAAGTGGCCAAAAATGGAGGATCCAGAGACTGCAGAATCTCCCTCTCCGTCTGATCCCTCAGAAGCTTCTTCTGAGCCGCCAAACACGAATCATCCATGACCTTCATCGTAAAATACGTCAAGGTGGTGGTCAACTCTGATAGGTAAACATTACCTATGTCCTCACACGTGAACTTCTTCACAGCTCAAAAGTGTTACAGATTGAGAGCTCCTCCAACGTGGGCCTTGACAGCCTGGATCGCCTCCGACCTCACATCACCATTTTTCGTGTGAGGCTTGTACAACGTGTTGCTGCTCTCATAACTGACATCACTCCCACTGCTGGCTTTGCAGATGCTGGTAGTCTTCCTGCTCTCGATTTTCGTGCTTGCTTCTTCACTGTTGGTAAAGCTCTAGCTCTTTGGCCTTTGCTTACAATGTGCCTGTGTATACACTACTTGAAGGGCTCCGACAAAGGCCTCCAACAGGACGAGATGGAAAAGGTGCATGGTTGTTGTTACTCTAACCACTGGCCAAATCTATTCCAGATTCGGGCGAGTCATTTGAAGTAGTACCGGAAGTCTCATGATCATCACCAGTGGACTCTACTACTACCACTGAATCCTTCTCCTCAACAGCAAAAGATGGCATAATGAAGTCTGGCTCCTGTTCCTTACTACTTGAGGTGTCTAAGTGTTTAGCAGTTTTGTTGGATGGTTCTTCGAATAAAAACCAATTACTCCATGATCCATAGAACCATTAGAGTATGAAGGCATCTGTTTAAGAGGCTGAGATCGAGACGTGGAGTAGGAGCTCAAAGGAGGGCTGTTGGGACTCTTGGAATCCATGATTTCTTGTTGGTCTTTGTTGAAGGGCCAACTCCTCCATCATCAACAAATGACTCCATGGAAAGCGGAGCAGTAACTCAGAAACCAGAACTGCAACAAAAACACAACAGGGTTGATTGATTATATGAGATGGCAGAGCTTGCAGCCTTTGAATAAAAAGCATACGCTGAGAAGTTCAAACTGTAACCGACTAATTGAGTGCCCATTCATTCACTCCCACCCAAAAAAAAAACAAATCAAGGGAACGTCACAATTTCTAGGACTCCCATACCATACAAAAATCAAGTAAAGACAAAACAAAATCTTCGATCTAATATAAGATTTCCTCATTGATCATACGAAGTCAAAACGTACCGGTAATTATGTGGCCATTGCTAAGAGGTGTAAGTCCCCGCAAAATCAGTCAATAGCTTGTTGAGCGTCTTCTTTCCTTCTCCTTCTGTGTTTTCTTTTTTCAACTTTTTCTGCTGCTTTTCTTCCACCACCAAGACAAATAGAGAATCCATAGCTCATTGAGCATTTCTTTTCCTTTTCCTTAAATGCGTTCTCTTTTTTCAGCTTCTCTACTTCTTCTTCTGCCAACAAAACAAAGAGAGAGGTGGGGAAACGCTTCCAGGAAGCGAGTAATATTCCGCCATGCCGCCCAGTTTGGTTGATCCCCTTCCTTCTCGTCACTTCCTTCTCACCGTGTTCTTCCTGTTTCAAATTGATCCCGTCTTCCTCTGCTTTTAGGTTCCCGGCGGCCAGCAGCAGGGGTAAATTTTTGGGCTTACTTTGCAAGAGAGAAGAAGGGGATCATGGAGGGGGGAAGAGGGGGAAGCATCTGCCTCCATCTAAGTACAATCAAAGCCGAAAGGAGGAGTAGAGAGAGAAAGGCTGAGAATATGGTTGAAAGGGTGAAATCGGAGAGGGGAAAAGCTCCCCTTCAGAAAAGAAAAAGAGAGAGAGAGGGGGAAAACCACGGTGGGTTGATGCTTCCATACGCTATCGCCCATTATCTTATATATAATAGCAGACTACACTTTATTGCCCAAACTTCCAACTACTGTTTCATTATTTGTCGTTTTCTGAAAGGGGAATTCTGGTTCTTCTCGCAACAAGCTCTCCACGATGAATGTTGCCGTCTGCCAGCTCCAGCCGCCTTGCCTATCTCAATTCGCGTACGGAAAGAATGGGCCACGAATAGACCAAGAGGAGGCGGTGGGAGGGTGGTGATTTGAGATAGGCAAGGCGGCTGGAGCTGGCAGACGGCAACATTCATCGTGGAGAGCTTGTTGCGAGAAGAACCAGAATTCCCCTTTCAGAAAACGACAAATAATGAAACAGTAGTTGGAAGTTTGGGCAATAAAGTGTAGTCTGCTATTATATATAAGATAATTATAGGTTGATGAAAGCACAAGCACTTAGAGTAGAGATACTTCAAGCCTGGAATTTATGAGGGGAAGGAGAATTCTAAAAATCAATCCAGACCACCCTATCTTCATGGACTTGAATGTAAGCACATCATAATGACCCTGTGTCTCGTTTCACGCAAACTGTTATTATGGAGCATTAGCGCTCACTTCTGCTACTATTACCGTCGTTGTAGGCTGCATGCAGAAAAGCACCAGATAACACTAATATGAAGAGAGCAATTGATTTGTTGTATGATACGACATCGATATCCAGTGGTTCACTGTGAGAATGGACTAGATGAAACTTTATTTTACATTCTATCTTTACTTTTCAAAAAGGGTA